CAAAAACAAAACAAACATTAATTGTGGTGGTGTCAGTAGTCTATTGCATCATCCATCTTGTGAGGTTAAAGGTCACTTAGATAGTAGAAGTTTTCAAGATGTGTTTCCTTAAAAGTTACATATTGTGTTTTTAAAGATCTTTACTGCAGGTCATCTCTAGGGACAGTTTTAAGTTTATGGACTTACAATGCTAAAATCCAGGGTTCAATTTCCTGCAGTGGACTCAGCAGATAGCCCATTGTGACTTTGTTCTCAAACACAAACAAACTGAACTGCAGAAGTAGACTTTAAATTTTTTTATAAAATATATTGCTTTTATGTCTTACATTTTTCAATATAATTTAAAATATACTTGATCTTACAAATAGAACTGGAAATATGAAGTACTTTAGAGCAGATTGAGATGAATGTAGACATAAAATGCCAGTGATAATATGTTGTCTTGTAATTTTTCTATCTAGCAATATTTATTTATGGGTTGAAAAGTGCAGGATTTGCTGAAATGAGATATTGTAAAATATCAAAATCATTTTCAGGATGTTATAGTAATAGTTTTTATTTGTACAAAATATGAAGAAAATAGAAATTTTGTAATGCTTAAAGCTGTTTAAATGTTTACAAGTCTTGAAATATGTGAGAAATTTCTATAGTGTCTAATGAATGGTTACAATAACCTTTTTTCTTTTACAAACATAATTTAGAAGTATTTTGAAAAACCTGTTGATAATTTTGAAGAATTTTACTTCAGTAGTATGCATTAATGAAAGTTACCTATGTTTAAATAAAAGTTGTTGATTTGATTATTGAAATATTTGGTGTCTTGAAATTACTTTAAATATGATTTTCATGTGAACAATTTCATTTATTCACAAGTTATTATGGAACTAGTTTGTTAGCACTTTTCTCCAGCTATTTTTTTATCTGAAATTACAAAAAGTTGGTGTTTATAGGTGATAATGTTTGGGGTAAAAACTAACAAACACAAATTGAAATTTTTTTAAACCCTGATTCTCCTACAGTAAGTGTTTTTCAGAAACTTTATGATTATTATATTTTATGGCATGTAGTAAGTCAGAATTTTCACTTAGAAACTGAGTGAGTTCTGCTTCAGAGAGCAGATACTAATTACTAAATAGTTTTATCCTACATTTATTTGATAATCTGGGGCTGTCATCAGGGAAATTCTGAGAAGGACTGTATGGACTGTAGAACTTCAATCAAACTATCTGAATGTTTTCAAGATGGGTGTTCAGGTTTTGTTTACTTCTTTGCTAAGTGTGTTTTCAGTTTGGTGGATATAGAAAGCTACTTTTATCTTTCTTTTTCTCATGTGTGATTAATATCCTGTTATTTAAGTATTATTCCAATTTATTGTATGTTATTCTTTCTGGCCTAACTGGCTATTGGATATAGAACGATATTGCCGAATTTGTTTGTTTATTGTTTTCCTGAATTCTAACTGTTCTTTTCTTTGTACAGTGCATTGGAATCTAGGCCCAGCATGGCTAGGTGGTTAGGGTGCTTGACTTGCAATCTGTGGGTCATGGGTTCGAATTCCCATCACACCAAACATGCTTGCCCTTTCAGCCGTGGGGGCGTTCTAATGTGTCGGTCAATCCTACTATACGTTGGAAAAAGAGTAGCCCAACAGTTGGCGGTGGGTGGTGATGACTAGCTGCCTTCCCTCTAGTCTTACACTGCTAAATTAGGGACGCTAGCGCAGATAGCCCTCGTGTAGCTTTGTGCGAAATTCAAAAAACAAACAAACAAGCATTGGAATCTACGTTCATAGAAGATGTTGTAAATGGTGTTTTTTTTCTCTCTTTAGGTGATTTGTTGTATACTAATTATGATTGTATTACGTTGTTTCTTCTGACTCTGTGTTGTTTATGTATCTTCTGTCTTCCTGTTAATTCTTTGTGTTTATCTTCTTTATCAAGTGTTTCAGGTATCTATTGTTAAAACAACGAAGTGTTAAATGTGGCACAAATTCCACACAATTATCAAATATTACATTTTATACTAAATGATAATTG